TACCAAAGACTCTCTCCGAAAGAGAAGAAAGCGGAAGAGCACAGGTAACGAAGAGGACAATATCAAGGAGTTCACCACGAGCGGTAGCAAGGGGACAAAAGCAAAGGGCAAGAAGCGAGTATCTTTCGCCTAGGCCCTCGACCGATAATATGGCAAAAGTTTTCGGAGTTTTTGCATTGTTTGGCGCATGGAGTTTGATAGATACTGAAGTCACACCATGATTTCTCGTGGTTTCTGGAGGTTCAGCGGTACAAAAGCTCAAGACTGAATTCGAACCATGGTTGTCTTCGGATGCAGATCCCCTCAATTAGATGGAATGATAGAATTCATTTTCAGCTTATAGCTCTGAACGTTCTGTGTCAAATCTATTATATATAAACGCGCTTCTATAAATGTCTATACTGTGCTAATCTACTTGTGGCCATCAATTGCGTCAAAGGGGGCCTTCTTAGAGTTCTTGGGAGCAAATCTGCTACTTAGTCTTCCACAATGACTAGCTTACGTCGCATAGGGATATAGCCATGTCCGTCGGCTAAATGATCATTGTTGTTGGGGTTAACGAGAGGCCTGAGATCATTGAGATCGGCCTTGAAAGCAAGATGGTTTAAGAAGTTGGTAACCTATAAGGATTAATTTTGATGTCTAGCGATTATAACTAACGAAAACTTACAGGTTTTGTAAACCACCGACCGCCCGAGGTTTCAAACCAACACAGATGTCCTCCCAGGCTAGAGGTGAGAAGGACAGTGTTGGGGTTCTGTTTGAATTCTTCATATGGAATAGCTTCCTTGACGGCAATCTTGCGACCGTTAGAAATGATTGAGAAGTTATAATAGAGCAGAAAACCTGAGTCCTTACCGGATCATCAGTTGAGTGGACAGCCAGAAAAGGAATCTCAATGGAAAGTATGGAATCCACTGATGAAGCATCGCGGTAGTATGCACTCTCCGTCGGATACCCCCAAGAAGGACACCTGGCAAAGTCAATTTTTAGTCGAAGTAGAGGGAAATGACTTACTGGATAAGGCGATCAAACTCATACAGATACGTGATGTTCATAACGGCCTCAACATCGATTTTGCTGTACTTTTCCAACTCGGTTCTATGTGTGGCAGCGAGTTCTTTCAGAGCACCTTGATAATATCAGCAAGCGCTTTAATGAACTACGTATGGATATATCGACTCACTACCCATGACTCGAAGATAAACTTCTTTACCGATGTAGCTGTTCTGTAGGATCTTGCTGGAGACGTCTAGATTGAATGGGTTGCTGCATACAACTGCTCCCTTGAGGACACAGTTGGGACCCTCCTCGCCACAGTAGTTTGTGTTAGACTGAGCCAAAATTCGGGGAAGTAATACTTATATAGTTGGTGAGCATGTTCGCTCCGAGGGAGAACCCTAGACCGAACAAAGGTCGGTTGGGGAAAGTTTTCTGTAACCACTTTATTGTCTTGGAGGAACGTTAGTGGGGTGTTTTCCTCGAGGCACGAGTATCCTTTACCTGACGAATATCCCATGTCGCTCGGGCGTTGTACAAGACACCACTGGTGATCTTGCTGCGCGCACAACCTCGCGAGTTAACCACGCAGACTTCCCAGCCGCCCTCGCCAATCAATGGCGCAATAGTATGTCGAAGGTAGATCTCGTGAGAACCACCTGAAAGACCATGCAGAACCACAAGCATGGGCTTGCAGTCGTCTGACCCGACATGATCGAACTCTTCTGGAGTGAAGTAAGCCGTTCGTCGAGACAATGAAGGGTCCTCAGGGGCCTCAAAAGGCTCAACAGCAAAGTCCACGGCGAACGTTCCATGGTAGATCTTGTGGTCAGCGTCGAAAATCTTGCGCTTATAGTAGATCTTTGGTCCAGCAGGTTTGGTCGCTGTCCACATCGTCTGCAGATGGCCATTGAAGAGCAGTGGGTTCAGCCGGCATGGCGGTGTTGCCTTTTCGCAGATGGATAAGAGATCGGTGACATTGCCATCTTTCTCTTGCACCTTTCGTGGTGAAGGCGCATGAGTGAAGTTGAGTTCTGCGTGTCCAAGCCACTCCATGATGAGATCCGTACAGACCGTGACCGACGGGCGCGAACCAGTTTCAGACCGCGTGAAGAGAAGAGAAGAGTCGACCACAAGCGAAGACGGATACAACTGAAAGGGGTGAGGGTAGAGACGTATTAATAAATTTTTGGCATTTATCAACCAGCAAATTGCCCCTCCATCCTCCGGACGACAAAACGGAAGACTTCCATGCCTACGGTGGATACACCCGTTCCGGTGGCCGAAACAACCACCACTGGCATCCAGGATAGATCTGTACCTGCTCTGGCTGCTATAATTTACTGTTGTACATACTTACTCGATGATTTTCTTGGTTATCAAGCAGAGATTCCACCAAGGAAAGGATTAAAGTATCTGGTGTGCTACAAGTGCTTTTACTATTTCACTTAAGAAAATCACAATATCGATCTAATTCCCGCCTCACTTCTAGGTGACCGGGTATGAAAGGGTCTTTGTTGAAGACTTATACAATATAGGTCTTATTATGTAGCGTTGCCTTTAGGAGCAAGAAAACATAAGACCTAAGTTTAGGGTAATAAAATAAACTCTACAAAGGTATCCTAAACTTATCCTAAATTTATACTAAATTACCTAAATCTTTTTATCAGTTAGGCTTTAGGTCCTGAGTTTTATTTCCTCCCCTAGCGTTGCTCTCCTCCATCTGAGACTTGCATTTTAACTTCTTACCTGGCGCTCGGCAAGTGGGGTCACAATGGGCAAAGAACCGAGGCACGATTTTAGGCAATTTTATAAGGAACACGGAGTACTAGGTACCTATAGGTAGTTACCTGGTGAGCAACGAGCCTCCTAAAGATCAACTAATTGATTTGATTGCTATAACTTCTCGCCACTCGGTGAGATAGATCTCGGAACGAGCCTCCTAGAATATACCTAATTCGCGCAGCTCAGGGCATAGCTGACAGTGATTATCCGTAGTACGGGTAATATATGATATATGATGGTATTGAGGTATATGTGATGAACCAATGTAAAGGTTGATGAGAGCCTCGAAACAGGGTTACATTGAAAGAAACAAAGCTCAATCTCTTCCCAAGTATGTACTGATACGTACTGTGAAATATACTATAACTGCCTACTTACCTACAGTATATGATCTTTTCACCAGTTCCGTTGCAATTAGAGGCAACCTATGTCCAGACATCTAAATGCAATAACAATTTTCTCCAAGACGTATCCTTGATATTCTCCAACCCACCATCCGTTTGGTGGTGGTTCCAGCTTCCAGGTTGTGATAAAGAGAAGGCCACGTGCATCTGTGTTTTCACGTGACCAAGACGCTTGCTCTTCCAGGCACTCTGGAATTCCCACAACAAGGATTCAACCAACAACCTACACCCAGTCACAATCGCCAGATGATGACCAAATGGCTGCTGTTCTGATACTGTGATAATGGGCAACACCTGGACGATAGTCTCAAAATGGCTTGCAATTTCCATTTGGCCAGACTGACCACGAGATGAAATGAACCGTCTATCGACCGAGCGCACTGTATAGTGCTCCCATCCCCTTCCGACCACCCGAACCATCATAAGCACACCCTTGAACCTCGTCACTATTCCATACGCCTTGTTTTGATGAACCAGAAACTATATGCAACTTACTCAGACGCATCCGAGAATCTCCACATGTACTGGAACTTCATTCATAAAACCGAAGCCCCGGAAAGCCCACTCCTACTTCAGTTTGGTCTGCTAAGATGGATGCAGGTTGAGATTATCACTGCCTTGTCCATCTTGCACCAGTTTCTCATTCTCCTGCATGGTCTTATTGCGATCTGCTTCGTACGCTGAAGCCTTTTAACACTTGGTTCTCCTTGACATTGGTCCCTCATTGCTGCGGGCATAGGGAACCTCTGCCTTGCAACCAACCAATGTTACGCATTGATTTGGGCATCACTTAACTGGCTGAAGGATAATTCGTCGCATGATTCAATCCTGATTTACCATGACAGCAGCAAAAAGTGTTAATATGGTCTTGGATGACCTCCGAATTGAGTCGTCTGATAAGGGCCGATAATCTATGGCAACATGACTCTGTTATCAGAATTTGGCAGACTCATTGGCTCTTGTTCGTGTTCGAGGCCATGAATCACTATTTCAGACGCAGCGGGTGGATTTTGCGTCGCCATGGGGTGTCTTCATGCTCGAAGTCCCGGATGGCTAAGCTGGATGAGCATTGACGTGTTAAGAGGAAGTCACAGTCATTATTTGGACCGTCGTAAATTATCCACATGGATTCGTATATAGTTCTTTTGCTCTTTTGAGAGCAGCGATACGATGAGATCATGCTGTCTCTCACCTGGTGGAACCATTGGGGGTTAACCCAAGCGATCCAACCATCAACAGCTAACACCAAGGCGCTTGATATTTGCAAAGATCTCTGGACGGAAGCTGCACTATAGCCAGTGCATGGGCAAAAGAATGACGCCTAGAGAGCTGGAAGAGCGTGCAAGTGCATGTATCCTGGAAATTCATCTAGCTCGTTAAGAGCTTGAGATATCTGCCCCTTTCGATCATTTCTGCGCCTATCACCAGCTTCTGGTGCTTTAGGACATGAGTTTACTCGGGGCAAGCTTGAACTATCAACAAATCCTGACAAGGCAACTCCCGCGCAAAACTTACATTACCCTAATCCTTGGCCTCTTTATTCCTTTTTCTTTCCCCTTTCTTTCCCCTTTTCTTTTTCGTCTCTTCTTTTTTTGGCGTCAATCGCGCTGATTCTGCAGATGACAAAAAATTCCCCGACCTGCATTGGGCCAAAAAGCCTACATGTTAAATTCCCCGCGACCATCGGGGGCCACTGATTGTTAGCGGGTCACCGACGTCAAGGCTGAAGAAGGTAGGTACCTGGTCATTCCCACCGGTTAAGGTGCGGCCCCTAAGTAACCACTGAAAACTCGACGCCGCCCAGGTGCACTCATGGAGACCGCATCCAAACCTCCACGTCGACGTCGACATGCTGCCATGAGAGACGAGCGAGAACTTAATGACCAAGGAGAAGGGGCTCGACATGAGCGAGGAATGAAACCCTCACAGAGATCAAGGTCTCCCCGTCAAATTCGCGATTCTGGCCACGATTCCGACGCACGCCGCAACCGCCCACTCACAAGACCAGAACCTCATTCATCTCGCCGTCGTCGCCATTCACACGATCGTAGTCGTGATCGCGCCTCTCGTCTAACGCCCGAAGCATCACGTCGAGTACCAGAAGTTGAAGATCTTATTCCGCGTTATCGAGAACGCCGTCGCGAAATCGAGGAGAAGCCTCCACGGCGAAGCCAGAGCCGAAGCCCAGGCCACGACTATATCAGCAGGGCATCGCCCTCGGCAGCCAAACGACATCGAAGTCGGAGCCCTTCTTTGACCATTTCCAATCGAAAGAGATCCAGAAGAAACAGGAGCCCCAGGCCAAGGACAAGGGACATCAGCCTGGAGTCTCCATCTAGGAAGCACGCCAGACACTCCTCACGCGACCGACGGAAACCATCGCCTCGCCAACAAGCACGATCTCCTAAATCCCCCACACGTTCACGGCCTAGATCTCCAGCAAAGTCGGACTCGGGTTCGCGACGTGCAGACCGAGAGACTCAGTCCCAATTGGACCGACCTCTGCCACGGTCACGAAGCCGATCGCTTACCTCAGAGCACCACTTGGCTTCATCCCGACGAGCTCGTGCATCATCTCGCGAGGATCAACGGGCGTCGGGTCTTGGGCGGACTTCCTCAAGGCGACAGCTTCCACCGCGATCACCTCAAGCAAGTAGGGGACGGAGATCTCGAGAAGGGTCGCCCGGCTGGCGTCACTCTTCGAGGTCCGATATTGACGAAGATATGGCCTCCAGAAACAATCTTCGTGGAGGCTATAACCCGAAGTATCACCAAAAATCACATATCAGTAATGATCCGTATTCCCCATCACCCCAACACGTTTCGTACCATAACTCGCCTTCTCGATCACCCTACGCATCATCGCGTGGTGGATGGAATGGTCACCAGTAAGTAGACCCTAGCAACAAGCACAAATTTGATCGATTGTTGACGCCATTCTAGGCCCTACCCACCTCAGCATCCTCAGGGGAGTAGTTACGGTCCCCCAAGTGGCCCTTCTAGCCATTATCATTCCAATACTACACGGTCACCGCCATACGCCGCTCCGACAGGCCCGATGCAGCAGTACCCTCAGGGGGGGAGCTACCGCGGTGGCTACAGAGGTGGCGGTTTTCGAGGTCGTGGGAGAGGTGGCTTCAAGAATTCTCATTGGAACTCAGGCCTTCCTTCAAGAGGACACCACGACGATTTGGGCAATGAACGCTTCAGCAATGTGGACGACCACGGAAATACAGGCCCTGAGCCTATGGATGTTCAGGAAGAAGTATTCCAGTCTCACGATGAATTGGGCGAAGACACCAGCCAGAGTGTTCAAGACAGAGCAAACTCATTGACTACCCCCAACAGACCACCCCCATCTGGTCCAGGAGGGTCATCTGGTAGCAAGTTCAGTTTTGCCTTTAAACCTTCATCAAAGCCAGTGGTCACTGCCCCGAAGCCTGAGATATCACAAAAGTTGAATGCTGCTCCTCGGCGAGAACCTCAGCCTGAGAATCGAGAGAGAGATCGAGCCCGAGATCAAGAGCGCGAACCTCCCCGGAGTGCACCGACAGAGCCAGCTTCCTCTCGGCCACGCCATGAGCGTCGCCATCCTCCCGAAGGCCCTAGAGTTGCGCCCCGTATGCGTAAGGTGATGAAGGTCATGAAGCGACCGAAGCCAAGACCGACTCTACCAGCTGATCTGGTGGACTCGGAATCTGTCTTCTTCAGAAAACCCGGAAACGAATCAGTCGTTGGCTCTGGTACCTATGGCAAAGTTTTCAAGGGCCTGAATGTTTACACAAAGGGGATGGTCGCCCTCAAACGAATTCGAATGGAAGGCGAGCGTGATGGGTTTCCCGTCACAGCTATCCGAGAAATCAAGCTTCTCCAGTCTCTCAGACATGTCAATATCGTCAATCTTCAGGAGGTCATGGTCGAAAAAAATGATTGTTTCATGGTGTTCGAATACCTGTCGCATGACCTCACGGGACTACTGAATCACCCTACATTCAAACTGGAGACGGCTCAAAAGAAAGACCTCGCCAAACAGATGTTCGAGGGCTTGGATTATCTCCATACGCGAGGGGTACTCCATCGCGATATAAAGGCTGCAAATATCCTCGTCAGTAACGAAGGAGTCCTCAAGATTGCTGATTTTGGCCTCGCCCGATTCTACGCCAAGCGTCACCAGCTGGACTACACCAATCGAGTCATCACCATCTGGTATCGCTCGCCAGAGCTATTACTTGGCGAGACTAAGTACACTGCTGCTGTTGATGTATGGAGTGCAGCATGCGTCATGGTTGAGATTTTTGATCGAAATGCCATCTTCCCAGGGGACGGGACCGAGCTTAGCCAACTGGAAAAGATCTACAACGTGATGGGCACGCCGAACTTGAAAGACTGGCCCAATCTCATTGATATGGCTTGGTTTGAACTTTTGCGCCCAACTGTGAAGAGAAGGAATGTCTTTGCAGAGAAGTACCGTGATAAAATGTCACCAGCCGCCTTCGACCTGCTCTCCGCCATGTTCCATTACGACCCTGCAAAACGGCCCAGCGCTGCACAGGTACTCCAACACGCATACTTTACGGAAGAAGCACCAGTAGCCCGCCAGGCTACAGAGTAAGTTGATCAAGCTTGCATTATGATAAGCATCACCAACTAACCTATCCGTAGACTCGCAACACATAATGACTGGCATGAATTCGAGTCTAAAGCCCTGAGAAAAGAGAACGATCGACGCGAGAGAGAAGCCAGAAAGCTGGCTAAAGAGACTGCCGGGCGGGACAAAGAGAAAGACAAGAAGCGCTTTAACGAAGGGACCGACCAGCGCGAAACAAAGCGGTTGCAGGTTGATAAGAATGGTGGAAACAAGCCCACGTCGGCAGTCGCACCACCGAATTCGACCGCTGAGCCGTAATATTCATGATACCTTGATTTATACACTCGAAACGATCACTCCTCGGCTACGCATTTGGTACTTTCGAACCCAGACGGCATTACCCAATCTGCAGAAGTCTTCTAGGCAATCTGACATTCCCCGTCCTCGTTCTCTTGCTGGGCGTTTCCCCATAGGCCAAGGGGACCAAATCAGCGGACTGGCGTTTTTGTTTTAATTTATCATCCTTCGTTTCTTTTGAGTCTCGGTGGCTTCATAACCTCTCATGTTGGAACCTGAAGCATTGATAATGCATGGGCGCGGGCACGGGTTTTTATTTGTTCTGCCGGCTTCATGGTCTCCTTTTTTGCATCCTGCCTATTGGCGCTGCAGTGTTCATAGAGCGGGGACAGATTTTTTCTTTTTGACGAAGGCATGGCAAAGTATTGTTGCTATATAGAAATGACCAAGACAGTGAATCAAAGACAAGGGGCGAAAATTAGACAGCGAAAGCCCGTTGATATGTATTAAGCCATCCTCAGGAAGACAGTCGCCGCCAGCTAAGTGCATCATTGACGTCTATTTATATGCGGTGAGTCCTGGGACTCCAGTCAAAGATATTGCAGGTTACCTATTGTCTTGGGTTGTCGTTGAAGAAGTCCTATCATACAAATGTTACTTGCTGCTGTTGCCGACCCGTTTTTGGAGTTTCGATAAGCAGCTCGATCTGAGAAAACCAGATGATCTCATACTTTTGACTTCTCTGTATCTGTCCCATCCATAATCATATCATTATTGGCTTCGTAAAATCGTGAGTAATTCGTTACATCATTGCTGGACGTTGAATTCTGGGTGATTACCCAACCCAACTGCCCTTTTAAAGTATGCGGGTATGTCTTTGAACAAGAGTGCTGTGTTCCTCTTGTTTGAGCTTCGTCTTTTTCTTTACTGATACGCCGTCGCCTCGACACCTTTTCCTTTGATATCTCGAGTTTTCAGAAGCTCACGTAGACTAACCTCCGCCCGGCCCTTAGTCGTTGGCAAAGTATCAGACGAACGCCAAGTCATCCAACCACTAAGCGTGGACATCAAATTGCTCCTCTGATTAGATGTCTCGATTGCAGATATAGAGCCATGGACAACTGGCTGGTCAAGTCCTTCTGTGGCTGCGAGGCCCTTCTTTGGTAAACCAGGGAGATGTTCTTTGTTTGTTACCTCAGGTGCTGTTCGGATTTCGAGTTGGCTGCTTGATGTTTGAGGTAAGGCAGGCTCACTGACAAGACCGGCAGCCGTGGGTCGACTCGAATCCAAATCATGGAGGTGCATGCTCAATCGATTACCATCAATAAGGGCCAATGAACCTGACCGTTTTTGGCGAGGTGACCGTTGTCTTACATCCTCCTCTTCCAGGAACACGTTCTCGCTGGCTCCTCCTTCAGACGAGACCGATGATCCGAGTTTGCTGGACCCTTTTTGTGCGGCTCTGCCGCGAACGTCCTCGGCAATCTCTGCAGCGGACTTCTTCTTTGATTTATCCTCATCCGATGATCTGCTCGATGACATTATGGTCTCCAATGTTCCCATGGCTCTGCTGTTCCTCCTCACACCCATCGGCCGTTTTCTAGATTGTTTGATATTTCTCTCATCATCGGATGACACCGCTTGAAGGGTGGGTCCATGAACCTCCTGGCTCTCAATAGCTGGAGCCATAAACGACGAACCTGAGCCATGGGGAGCATAATGAACTTCATACTGGTTGCTGAGAGAGTATCGTGATTTAGCACAGATCTCTGCAATACGATCCAGATCAGCATTTATATCAGTACCGCCGCTCTGGTCTTCTAGATTGGCCATAAAGCTCTTGAAGCGGAAGGCTTCGACGGATGGGAGTTTTGGCTCCTCTGGTTCATTCTCGAGTCGTTTCTTTGTTCGATTTCTCGCCATTGTACCCATAATTCCATTCCGGACCGAGGCAGAACCCGTACCGAAAGGCAGCACTCGTCGTACGAAAGCTGAAGGACCGCTACTCTCTGAGAGTGCTGAGCGGTGCCCTCGACCGTTGACAACGATGACTCCTCTGTCCGCGGGCTGCGCTGGTACAGGAGCGTAGTAGCTTCGCACAATCACAGGCTGCGAATAGGTACTGCTCTGGGCACCAGTAGACTGTGCGTATCGATGGCGAGTGGGGAAATTGGTATTCAACTCTCGAAGAGCCGACGTTCGATGCTCAGCAGTTGAATTGTCAACGGGGATGGGTTTTCCCTCAGCAGTTGAGGGCACCAGGCTCGTCGATGAGGCGTTCGTCTGGAACAAGGGTGGGAAGGAGAATTGAAGAGAATGTGGACGTTGTTTGCTGAGAGCCGGTGTTGATGAGGTTGACGTAGAGGCGTGGTGTCGAGATGATTTGTGTTGATGGATTTGGGGCGGCTGGAGGACATCCTCTGGAGGAGGTTGCATGATGGTGAATTGGGACCTGACTCCGTATGTATATAGTATGAGTGTGGTGTGTGTGCTGTGCTTGTTTTTGTATACAACTATGGGATCTGGAGGTGATAGAGCGAGGTGTTGATTCGGGTCAAACGCAAATGTCACCCCAGGTGTACGCCAATTAGGGCGGGCATTGGATGCTCCGAAGCGGCAGGGCGATAGCGTAGTATACTTGAGCTTTGCATATGGCCTTGTAGCTAGTATCTGTACAGACGTGTACACTCGAGGGTGGCAAGCGAACGCTGGAATGGGGAAGATGTTGGGATGATGATGATTGTCGTGGTCAACAGTCGGTCTAGGATACCTATGCAAGGTGTCCCGGGGATTAGCTGCAAAGGCAGCGGTAAAGAAGCTTAGTATGTACTTTGGGCTAGCTCCTAGGCAGGTAATATGTAGCGAGGTACCTGATGGATGTTAGGAACGATAGGTATGCTCCGAACAATTCATCGACCCAGAGGCTGTGTGGATTGGCCAGCTAGAACAATGAATACCTACCTACCTTAGTGAGTGATGGAAACCAGCAAGGCGCCGAAACGTAAAACCATGGATTCTGGTTTATTAATTCTGTCTTGGCTGAGGATCAAGCCGTTGATGCAAGACTCGGTGCAGTGGGTCGATGGATGCAGGAGATGTGACAGTAGCAAAAAGAACAGTACGGCACTCTTCGGCTACAAATACGGCGTAGTCGGTAAGACAAGGGTTTTAGTTTGTTCTTGGTGGAAATGTGAGATGCGAGTTGATAGATGATGAGATCGCAGGAGGAGGAGAGGAGAGGCAATGAGTCAGGTTGAGAGCCTATTCAGTTGGTACCTCCAATGTTGCAGAGGATGCTGGCTGTAAGGTACACTCAGGCAGGCCTTGAACTTGAAGCTAGGTATCCGTACCTACCTCCACTTACTTCATAACACTGTATCTGAGACCGCAAGCTGCAAGAGTAAAGGTGTCTTTGAGAATAAAGGAAAGAAAGAGGGGCAAAGAGGTTATTTTCTCTCACATAGGTGCGTTTCGTTGCTTTTCCCTCCAGGTCCATTGATATTGATTCTTGAGGCTGATAGGAAGTAGCGAAACCAATCGGGACAACTCAAATGTGGCCCTTATGCAAGAGTGTCGTGGCTGTCGATAATTAGGCACTCAGTTGAAGGATCGAGCTCGTCTCAGACAACATCCCCGCATTGTCTTTCATTGGCTTCCATCCACGCCTCTGCAATAAAGCTCTCGGCAACATATCCCTAGGTACTTACCCTGAACTACCTCCATATGAACATTCATTGCTCACGAATGTCCAGCCTGTCGGAAACTGGGGTTTTCAACTTTGGCGAGACGAACAGATGATAAACCTACGAACTAAGATCTTCCCATTAAATGGTTTGTCGGTGTGTGGTATATTTGAAACCATTCCTGTCAACTACCAAATACATTAGCACGACATATGTATTAGGGTACACTCGTAGTTTTACTTTGGACAATAGGCACATATCAATGCACATACCGGGATAGCCAAGGCGGACAACTCACACCTCCAAGTCATTACGCAGCAAACTTTGTACATCTAGTTCCCAGTACGTTCCTAATGTTATTTGATTTTACATGCAGGAATATTCAACAATACGGATACATGCAGACGTTGTGTTATCCTCTCACTATAATTGGATTTTCAACCCCTTCCCTCACCAGCATGAACTAGTATCGAAATCTAACTTGAATTCAACACTCGCTAGCATGTACTACATGTCCTTCGACACTAGTGTAACAATATCATGTTGATCCTGCGTCGCCGTTCTTACACCAGACTACCTTAGTACCTAGGTAGTTGGCCTCTGTAATCCAAAGGTTGGGCATTAGCTCTTTGCACACCTTCCTCCAAACCGAGGTCGGCGAATATGCAACACCTAGTTGATGCAAACAGCTTCGCCTGGGTTGGAATATACAGCCCAAAACTAGAGTCAATTACCACCAACGTCTATCATTTTATGCTGCGCGCCCCATTGTTCCATAGCCCTGTCCTCCAGTCTGCACGTTGTCGGAGTAAATGCCAGGCGCAGGTCCTGTCGCAAAACGGCCCTCTCGCGCCTGTTCTCGTCGATCGTAGTAGATGTACTCAAGGTAGAAGGCGTGGATATGACCTGGAATGAAGCCAAGAAGGGTTAAGCAGATGTTGATGAACAGATCTGAGAAGGTTAGCATTGAGTGCAGCCAGATAGAGAGATGTTGCATACCCATTCCACATCCTGCAACGGCCCATACGCCAATGGGAGGGACTGCGACCACATTAGTTCAACTCTGCATTACACGACCAGGCGGAGTCTGCGACTGACAGAAAATTGTAATAAGGATCAGGAAGACGGCAGAAATAGCACCCATAGTTGCGACTCGTTGATGCAAGGTTGAGAGAAGGTTTGGAGGTAGTTTTGTCGGTGACTCAAACAGTCGCGAGCTCGTGTTCTGTTAGCTGAAAGGATAGTATGTAGCTGACGGAGTAGCTGACGGAGGGAGAAAATAAACAAGCAAGGTCGTCACAGAAGTCGTCTGAAAATGTGCGCCACGTGAATAATTCC